CTCTACGTTAATGCAATCACTTAAAAATATTTCACCCGAAAGCATCAGAGCTATTGCTCGTAATCCAAATATTGATTTACAATCAATTGGAATATATTGTAAATCAGACATCCTCAGACATCCAACATCACATTAGAACACAACAATTTCAGGAGGAATTATTAACACAAATGGACACAAAAAAAAGACAGTCAATTGACCAGAATTTAAGAAAACTTGCCGAAACCGCAGGATTTGCAGATATTTATACACAAGATTACGGATAATTTAAAGACATTAAAGATTTCATATATTTAAATGTTGCAAGATGTTTCACCTATAAATGTTTTCAGTTTTGTTACCCTAAAGAACGAAATTCTAGCTTTTCTAGGATGGCCCTTTTACATCTTAGAAAAATTAACTATCTTATACGCAATGTTTAACTTTATAGGATTTCTTTTCTCACTCTTAAAAGGAATCTATAACACATGCGCTATACACACACAAGTAAACAGACAAGCAAGTGTAGCACGTATACTGTTTGCAGGATTTTTTGGAATTTTTTCATCATCAATAAACAAAATACTTCTAGATGCACAAATAAAAGAATATAACACAAAAATATCCACAAGACAAAACACTTATGACGAAGAACACAATAATATAGAGATAACACCTACCGCACCACAGTTGCCACCCCTACCACAAAACCATTCTTTATCATTAGTTCCCCGTAATTTCCGAAACCTACCAATCACAAATAATCCAAAATCTAGACCAAATATAGCACAAAGCCCCATCCAACATTTAATGACACATCATTCACAAAATGATAATACATACGAACAAATTACAGAACAACCCCACACCACCACTTTTCAGTCTCAAAAAAAATCATTTTTTAGCCCACGATGAGCCGACAACTTGGATCCCTCCATCGCTCAAATTCCCACCCAGCCAACCTCCAAACTCAAATCCCAATAATCCCAATTTTTGCTTTCCCACCACCCGATTTTCCTATTATTAATATATCATCAAGTACGAATTCTGATACTAACTCAGATATTTCAGTTTTATACTCCATCTCACAATTTAATAACCCTAATGTAGAAACCCCTGACAAATTTGCAGACTCCGAACCATCTCCATCAAATTATACTCAGACCAACTCCTCAGTTTTTTCAGAACCACCTTTTCAACCAATTCCATCAAATCATTCACTCCCATCCGTTTCCACTCCTTCTTATGCTTCGCAAGTGACCCCAACCTATTCTCCACTTCATTCCGACAGATCATATAATAATTCCCCAGATACCCCCCCCCAACAGTTAATGCACCCTAACACCCTCACAATACATCAATTATCAACCACAATAGAATCATCAAACCCACCTACTCCTACACCCTCCTCAGCTTACACTGCATCATTCACACAATCATCCACATCCACCGAAACACCTAGTAGCACTCACAGAGCTTATCGCACTTTTAAACGAAAATTCCCAAATCACCCATTCTCAACCAAGCCCGGAACAGCCTGCGAATCTATTAATCACCCACAACATACAAACAAGAAAAATTTTCTTGAAATCACCTTACCCTCATTTCCGCAATATACATTAAACACACCTAACGATACCAATGACACACGCAATTTTGTAGATGAACATGTTTTAAGGCCAACACTTCAATGGAAGCTTATTATAATTTTATCAACCCCCTTTGCCTACCACTAACAAATAATCATGACAGCATAGAAAAGAACAAAAATATGTTATATAGACTCACCACAACACTAACACCTCGACAATATACTTACGTTGGATATAAAAAGTTACTAAAAACATTCACTGCACCCCGAGCTAACAAATTTGCAATAGAATACTACGATCATAATATCATCCGCCCTAATCAAGACCAATTTTTAGATGAAGACCGCTTCACAAACCCGCAACTAACAGAAAAAATTTTTTTTAAACATCATACGTATTCACAATTAATATTTTTCATAGAAAGTATGATCACATCATTTCAGAATCACTAGCTGACATTCAAGCATACAAAAGTTTCCATGACAAATTTCAGTTATTTTCACTAACCTTTCACTTTCTTTCACCACATGAACGCGATTAGCACTGTTCCCACGATATTATGTTACGCACTAAACAAACCCACACATATACATACTATCGTTTCATACAAAATCATTTTGGTTTGCATACCCCATCAAGACAACCTCACCATCGTTTTCGGTTTCTAGACTCAAAGTACACGTCACCATTTTTTCTTAAATTTACATATTGCATCAAAGATACTAACATCTACGGCATCCTCCGCAACTATGAACCAGTAACCCAAATGTATATATTTTGTCCCATCACGAAGACCTTCAATGCAGAAAAATCCAGACCCTTCCTTATCCCGCATGAATTTATCCAGCCTTTTGAAATACCAATATTAGAATTCATTCACAATACTAAATATAATCATAAAATATATAACCTCTTTCAAAACACACCTTACAAGTTTCCAGTAGGCACCGAAGAACTAAAAACCATTAAAGCACTTCATTTGCTTTGGCCACTGCTACAAACTAAAAACATCATACGCATACTAGCCAAATTACTAACAACATCAGATTTGATACACGACATCTTCCCCCCACGGCTTTTTCCCAAAAGATTAACAGGTAAGTATAATTTAAAATACTCTTCACTAATAAATTTAAATTAGTACTAACCATTTTCTACTAATAATTGATTTATATTTCTAGTCTTCACATCACAATCATCTACAAAACAGAAAAGAAAAATAAAAATAGAAACTTGTTGAATTCTCTTAAAATTCGTTAATTTCTTGCACTAAAAAATGTAATAAAATTCATACCAAATGTAGTAATTTTATCTATAAATTATTTCCACATGAAGCAGTAACGTTAATTACGATGAAAATTTATACTTTCAATTTCCCCCAAACGCAGTAAAATTCAAATTCTATGCAATAAATTGATAAAATGAGAAAACAGTACTAACCTTTTCAAATGTTTTCATTCACTCGCACATGAATTCTATCTAAACTCGCACAGCTCGCCCACGAAGAATTGTTTAAATAATAATTTTAAGTTTCAAGCTTTCACACTCAACAACTCTAACACACGATAATAAACTTCAAATTTTCCTTTAACCCGGTTGGAAGGAATTATATACTAAACTAAACTAACCAACGCAGCTTACTAAACACCACAAATCATAAAATAACAGCATGACTAAGAAAAGAAAACCAACAGTACCCAAACCGGATTAACCCAGTTTAAAACTCGATAATTTATTCTTTTGAAGACTATTATAAAGTCTAAGAAAGAAATCATAAAACACAAAAAAGTCGCAAGACAAACCCATAACAAAAACAATTTGATGTTTGAAAAAAGGACACAACCAAAGTAACCCAAGAAAGACCAACATAAACACAACATAAAACGTTATCACATAACAGGACCTCTCAAAGAAACAGCATGAAATCATACTCCCACTCCTGGCCTAACCCACCAGAGAGGACGTCCTGAGCATGCTCTATAGCCGGCCTAACCCACCGCGCTACATCCACGCTTTGTGACCAAACTTCTAATTTTAATAGGAGGTACTCAAGGGTGAGTAACTCTTCAAAATTACCAAACTAAAACAAAACGCTTTTGTGAAAACGACTAACTAAAATCATGATTAAGAAATTGAATTAACATAATTTTATAAAATGTAAATCATACTTTGCAGTATATAGATCAATACACAACAACAAAGACGAACATCCAAAAACTAGATGATCCCATCACACTCGAACAAAAGAATGGCTAAGCACAACCGACATGCCGTCCACAATCACAACTCAAAAGATTTAGAGTACGACTTGACTTCGCAGAAAAGGACTTCATTGAACTAGACCAATGACCACCTCGATGTTCAAGTATACGTACAGATCCGAGGTACAAGGCATCCCTTCCACACACGATCTTCACGCCATTCCCAGATGAGGTTGCACACAAAACAAGTTCTCTACATAACAAAGAAAAACCTGTCATAGCAAACCATTTTGAAAACGGATTGATTTCATTGGGGATCACAGTCGTTGTCGAAAAACGACGTGATAATTTCCTGTCAATAATTCCAGCATCCTGGAACTTCCTTATCCAAGAGGAACCGGACAAGAAAATGATATTCGCCAAATACCAAATTTCTGAACTGTAACCGAACTTGTTTTGTTCTGAACTGTAACCGAACTTGTTTTGTTTTGTTTTGTTTTGTTTTGTTTTGTTTTGTTTTGTTTTGTTTTGTTTATTGCTTGTTTTCTGATGTTGTGTTTTTGTTTGATGTAACCAATGAATTTTAACCAACTTTATTATTTACACTTTGCTATACTGATGCCTCGGCTTTTATTGTATAGTAATTCAGGTGTTCTTTCTTCTTCTTCTTCTTCTTCTTCTTCTTCCTCTTCTTCTTCATCCATCCTTCAAATTGCAGAAAGATAATTCTAAAAAACTCTGTAAAACCCGGATGGGTGGAACCTGATCTAAACTACATTTTATAATTGGGTAAATTGGATAATTTACCACTGTAAAATATTTAATATTAACCAATCATAATCCATCTAACTAACAACCCACTTATTTGTAAGTGCTGAAATTACTTGTAATTTCAGCACCAGAGAGATTTGAATTTAACTTAGAAATTAGTTGCCTCTCCAAGAGAACTTCAGCAGTTGCAATAAGCCAGTATACTCTAGATCTATTGAGCCTAGCAGAGACTAGTTAAACACCCTGAGACTTGTAGATATAAGAGTAACATTAGGATCGGTATTAGACTAAGAAGTTGCACGAATCTATCCGGCCGAAAATAAGATAGCGTGACGAGCAGACGGTGTACCCTATCCGAAATTACTCTATGAGTTAACCACATCAGTCCTAACTCAGATTTTACCCTAATTCAAGCAGACTTGCGTTAGTTAAAGTGACTGCTACAAAGCAAAATTACCTTGAGTGACTGTAAGCTTTCAGAAGGCGCGGACAACAATTCGGCTTGGAATAAGTTAAGGAAAAGAAGAACAACAACGCAGGTTATCATTATCACTTTCCGTTGAAACAAATTTTCAAGTAATCATCAAAAGCAACCACTGCGGATAAACACCTAAAATATAGAGATGAGCAAAATGAATGAAAAAGTTTCCTCGCAATGAGGTCAAAACTGAGAGCTCAGCTAAAAACTTTATAGAAATGTTTCCGTTTGACTAGACTTTTTAATAATTGTAGTTAGAGTTTGTTGAAGCGAGCGGATAAAAAAATTGTTTGATCTAGAGGCAATTGCAATTATTCTAGTCAAATGATCGTTTCCGTGAATAGATCAATCGATATGACGAAATTTCATTTTTTATTACTACGTTATTCTGATCGCTTCACGATATAAAAACTAAACACAAGTCTCGCGATATGTCACAATAGACAAATGCGCATCACTACACGAAAAAAGTCCAGTGGGAAGCATACTAGCAAGCTCGTCTCCATTAAAAGCAAATCATTGATGGATGAAAACATGATCGATGAAAACTTTCAAGTCATTATGATAGCTTTTAATGATCCGCAAAAACATTTGTATAAACTTTTTGAAGCCAACTATTCAAGCAATTAATTTGTGAAAAAAGTCGAGCAGTTTTGATCGCTTGAATTATTTTATTTTGAGCGTGGAAATTTTAAGCCGTATTATCAACCAGTTTGGAAAAAACCAAGTTCTTCGAAGCCGGTCGTAAAAATTTTGATTTCAAGTTGTTTCAAAAAACAAATCGGTTTGAAAAAAGATAAAGTTACAAAACGAGACATTCGAGCAATAAAAATGGAAATTTTTTAGGCAACTTCAGCTTTCCTTTTACAGGTTATTTCATAAAACGAATCAATTTGCGAAAAATTTCAAGCCAGCTATTCAGGAGCTGAAATTAAAACATTTCACGTTTGTTCAAAAAGCAAATCCTTGAAACATTGAAAGATATCGAATTAATTCAAAGGAAAAATTGGCTTATGAAAAACTATTTCTTTGCAAGCAAATTTGAGCAATGAAATTGAATTTTTTCTTTTTTAAATAGAGTGAATCCGTTTGAACAAAGATTATGTTTTTCTACTTCAGCTATTCAAGAAAATGAACTTTGAAGGTTTTCATCTGAATTGATAGAGCGAATCATCACAAGCAATGTCAAAAAAATTTTCAGCAAACTGTTGAAACAATTTATGTTGTTGATTCATAGAGCTATTGAGTTTCAACAAATTTCAAGAAAAGTTGTTCTTATCAAGCCATTCAGATGAGGAAATATTTAAAGTTATTTCTTTGAAAAAATCAGTTTGCGGAAACTTTTAAGTTTTCCAAGCAATGTATTCCAGCGGAAAAAAAATGAGATATTCCAAATCATGGATTTAGCAACAGATTACCAAAAAGTTCTAATTACTCTAATAAAGCGATGAAATTTTGAGATGCAATAAGTTTTTCATGCAGCGAATCAGATTGCAGCTAAACAAGTTTTAAAGCTTTTCCACAGCTGGAAATTTGAGATATGACCAATTCTTTCATAGGGCCGATCGGTTTGCAAAAATTTAGCGTTCTTCAAAGCAAACTAATCGAGTGCTGAAACAATCAAATTTTTGGAGCAAATGAGTTTCAACAAAATTTAAAGTTTTCTAACTCAGCATTGCCGGCGATTAAAATTTCCAAAAAACTTCAAACGGAAAATCGGTTTGCCGCTAAAATGAGTTTCAAAGCAAGTTGTTCGTGCAGTGAAACGCTGAATTGTTAATTCATAAAGTGAATTAGATTGCGCTAAAATGTAAATTTTTTAAAGCAAGCAGATCAAGCAATGGTACTTTGAATTATTTCAAGTTGTTTCAGAAAGCAGAGGTGGATCTAAGATTTTCTCGAGGGCGGGCGGTCTTTAAAAACGTTTTAAAAAATTGTCAACCGTTTTTCTGAGATCGAACAGATAGATTTTTCGAGTGCTCCCATAACACTATTAACACTGTATTTTAATTTAAAAAAATTGCACCGCAGGCAAATGGAAAAAAAACTAACAGGTGAAAAAAATCTACTCTTGGGCATTTTCTGGGAAATTTGACCAAAAAATGCGTTTTTTCAACCTTCCCTTTGAAATAATAACTTTTGTGGCTACTAGCAGAACAACATTTAAAAGGAAATCTAATCTCTAAAGTTTTTAAAATTGCTTCATTTTAAGATTAATTTTTTTATCGAAAAACGAGCGAACCAATGTTTCGACTCAGCCCTCTGTAGGTTTATGCCAACACTGTTGGTGCTATATGTAGCTTCTAATTCATAGTACCATTTAAATTATGGCAACGAAATAAAAAATTGGTGGCTATGCGTAGCCTTCAAGACTCGAGTGATAATCGCTCCTCAACAATTCGTCCAATGTCATAATTTTTCAGTCAAAGATTAAAAACGCGCATGCATGTCCGAATTTAGAATTTACAAGCTTATGGTATATAATTGTTCCTTAAGAAACTTACACTTTCAATTTGCCCAATCACTTACCAATTTGATTAGTTTGGATTCAATCAAAAATCACTGAGACCTAGTGAAACCAGTTTTAGAAAAATTCAGACATATAAAAAAAGTAATTTAATCTCAAACTAATTGTCTATGTAAATTTTGGAAACATTTAATTGCCATCATTGCTTTAAATTTAAGGTAGGCATTATGTTTGCCATAATTGTCATTCATGAGTCAATTTTAACAGCTGATGAAATTGAGATTCACCGAGAGGTAATCAAATACGAAATAATTTTTACTCACGACAATGGTATGTCTAGCAATGGATATCAATTTCGTGCTTGATAACATTGTCCCAATTGAAGAGGGCCATGTATTTGCTAGTGTGAACAAAATTTTCCCAAATCAATCAAAACTGATTCTTTAAGATAAAAAAATTTGCCGGTTTCCTTCGATGAGCAATCACGATTGAAAACCCAAGCTCTCAATTTTCTCAAATTATCAATGCATTCGTGAATCAGCATAACACAATATATATTAATATGACTTCCCAATAATCAAGGTAAAACCTAATTAAATGTGACTTTTTTTATGATACTTTCTTAATTACTTTTTATTTTTACTTTCATATGGCTTTTTCAATTTTATCTTCGTATGACGATTTGATTATTCAATCGTATCGAAAAACTGTACATTAAGTCTTGAAGACATGTCTAACCAAGACACCACCCGATTGAACAACAAACCAATCACTGTAACTGATAGCTGATCAATGCATCAACTTTTCCTCATTGTTTTTCACTGTGATGGGTAAGTGCACGAAACAAGAAAATTGCCCATAACTAGAAAAACACTCAATAAACAGGACAAAATATTTACCAATTTCGCAATTACTTACTTTATAAATGTTAACAATACTAAATTTGTGTAGGACCTCTATTATCTGAATCTATAATTCCTCTATTATCGGAATCTGTAAGACACGGAAAAATTAGCTATCTTAATTATCTTTAACAGCGAAGTGCAAACCGGTAATAAACCGCAGCTCTTGAATAAAGTAGACAAAGACGGAGTCAGCACAAGATGGAACAATAAAAGTTCCATTAAATTTATAGTTGTCAGGAGCAAAACCCCAGCAACATTGTTCAATCCAGATTCGATGATGACAAATACCACAGACAACAGGACAGGGAGGAGTACGACGTTTCAGGAGTAAAAAACGAGTAGAGACATCGTGGATGAAGGAAACGAATTGAAAGAAAGTGCATGTTTTAAAGAAAAAATTCAACACATCATTATAATTTCAAGTATCATTTCATCATTTTTTTTAAAATTCAAATAGAAATATTTTTTTTGAATATATTACTTCGAAACAATATAAATGTGTTAATCGAACAAGTATCTATCTTAAAAGGGATGAGTTGTAGTTTTGCAAAAACTACATCAATTTATGGTTTACCTTAATTTTCTAACAATTTAATTATCCTTCCGATTTAAATAACTTTTTTATGGGATTGGACTCACTTTTTCTGTTACTTTTGGCCTGGATAATCAAAACAGGTATGTCGTTAGTTAAGTGGACCGGTTTACTTTCTTGCCTTAAAAAGCAGGCGATCCCAACAGAAAAGTTCTCTTTTTTTAATAAGTAAGGCAGGTGCAACACTGATAAATCGCCCTGATCCTTCAAATCATTGATTTGTTATTCTGAAATTTTATTAAGCTGCAAATGTCAATTTCATCAAGAGTATGAAGAACAAAGGGCAACTGAAGTTTGAGATCTAGACTGCAGGTGCATATTTATCTCAGCAAAAAGGCTGAGAAATAAATCAACCTGAACCTTCAGAAATATTACTTTTGCCACTCGCTCAGTCGATTTGAAACGTTTTCCTTCTTTTATTTATCACTATTTTTTCTTTTAACAAAAAGTACCTTTGAAAAATGTAGCATTCCAGAAATGACGGAGTTAAGATTCTAATGTTTTCTTTCAACTTACGTTAATGTAACTGAACATACAAACCCCAAACTTTTTTGGTATCTAAGACGGTTGTTCAACTATTCATGAATCATTTTTACTCATTTAATCATCTTTCTTAATTGATCTGTTTTTATAAATATCATTTTAACTCTAGGACCACATCGACTTTGATCTGTGATACAATCTAAACGAGACTTATAGGGTTAGTTTCTAATTGGAACAAAGGGATCTATCAAGCGACCCCACTGTTTCTCTTAGCAAAGTATCAGAATTAAAATTTGCTCATATCAGGGCAAAAATTTCATTAATTAAAACCAAAAACAAAAATGCGATAAGTTCTTTTTTTTGTAACTGCTACCCCTATACACAAGGCTACAAACAATTTGAAATATAATCCAAATGCTCTCTGAGATGGTCTAAACTTACTTAAATTCAACTTTTTTCCCAAATGCCAAAGCTGTGAAATTTGAAAAATAATCAAGGTAAAAATAAACTTCTTTCATCATAAATTTCAGATTGACAAAAAAAACTTGTGTCATTTTCAGAATTAGCTTTATAAGTCAAACTTTTTCTGTTGATAAAGAGAGCCTGTGTGCAGTCATTTTCTATGAAAAAAGGAAAATTAATCCAACTCGGTTACTCAGCCTGCTGAAACAAGCCTTCTTGTCCAAGCCTATGTAAAATTCAAAATAATTTT